GCCAACGACTCAGGTTTGTATGACTATTTCTCTATATATCATAAAAGCATATGTTAAAAAGAATGTCTCATAAAAATGTTCATTTTATTGTGTATTTATTCTCCTATCGAACCAACTGCAGAATCATTCAAACAAGATTTTGAAAGTTGCTCAATCTTGGTAAACCTCACTTAAAAGGTTTTTGATATCAATACATTTCCGGTAGTAGTAATATACCCGCTAAACTAGACACAGTCCATGGAATTCTCTCAACCCTTAGGTGTAAGGGTCAATTAGGTACGTGAAGAGTTGTCAAAAAGGCTTAAATGTACCCCGAGAACAATGGAATGACGTAATTTCTTGTGCACCCTTGTTAGTTCTTGTAAAGGATATCGTCAATGACCAGAAGGGTGTTGTCGCCGACGAAGAAAGTTGAGTGAGAAGCCAATGGAATGACGTAACTTCTTGAACAACCCTCTTGGTTTCGATAATTAAATAATCAATGACCAGAATGGGTTGGAGACGAAGTGCCAAAAGGGCCTTAATATAATAAGTTGGGTTTTTGATCTCTATCGTCAACGACAACGACAAATCTCCCTTTGTAGCGCTGAATTTATGTAATTCCACGTTCGTGTTGTTATAAACCGTAAAATATAGAATCAGTTAGCCCCCATATCGCTCTCCAAACATTTGCTTGAATAAAGTTATCTGTAATGTCGCGCGAGAACATTGAATTAAACGTAGGTTTCGCGTGATGCGGGCACATGAAGAATAAATATTCTAAACTCCCCCGCGATTTAATCAGCCCGGGGGCGGGACCTGTCGATATCAAAGCGCTTTCTCGAGAGGTTCATGTCTGGGCGCAGTTTATCCCAGCAAGAGTGCGTTTCGAGNATTTTCAATATGTCTGCGAATAAAGAAGATATAGGAAAACAAATAATTTGGGATTTTTTGGTTTTTCCTCTATATCTTCAGAACCAAAAGAGCTATATTCGATTTTTTCACATCATTGAATATGTCTCTAAAATACGCAACTTTGCCACAATTTAACCATCTTATCGTTTACGAGATCCCCATGTACAGAAACGAATTTGAATAGCCCTGTATAATTTTTTTAAAATGATATCTATAAAATTATTTGAATTTGTAAAATAAACTATCAATATTTCAAAATATCTATGTGGTTCGGTATGTACGTAAAATTTGATTGAATAGTAGAGTTACCTTTTATTGTGAGAGCTCGCAGCAAGATTTAAAGGAAGAAAAGAATGGTTTCTATAGTCTATTGAATGAAGTATATTCTTCATTGTGAATTCAATTATCCAAATGAAGATGTATATATGGCTCAATGGTCTAGAGGTATGATTCTCGCTTCGGGTGTGAGAGGTCCCGGGTTCAATTCCCGGTTGGGCCCTTATTTTTGTGATTTTCGAAAATAACATAAATAATGACTGTTGAGCAACGAGACGAGTTAATTTGCCATATTAATACGAAAATACAACAAGAAATGTGGATCTTTAGATTTTCTTTTGTGAAAAAATTGATGTCAACAAATATTATATACAGGGTGATGCCAAAAATGTAGTCTTTCATGTTTTCAAACTTTTTGTTATTTTTCATTGAGAATTTTTCATTTTTTTTTAATAATTCCTAACAGCTTACGTTGCTTAAATTTTTGTTGATAGGTTTTTTGGATTTTTTGTATTATAATCATATTAAATTATGTTTTCAAGCCTAAAATAATCAGGTCCCTAGTATCAATTCACATTTGAAAAATATTGGTCAATAGTGAAAAATTCACTTACGAACAAGATTTCACTTCCACTTCATCAATTTTGTATAAACATTTTTTTTAGTTCCTAAATTTTGAAAACTTTCCAAAACTTCAGTCTTTCATAATAAAATGGTTAAAAACGGTCGTCAAAATCACGGCCAAAATAACAACAACAGCAGCACGATTTCCGCGATGGAATCACCTTCGAATGATACATTACTGCGTTCTCGAAAAGATTTATTTATTATTCATCTATGCAACCGGATTTGGTGTTACAGTTACAAAATTATAATCCTATTTATAATACGATTGTTTAATATTTTTGGAAAAATGCTTCAAGCCAAGCAAAGCAATAACGAAAGCATTGGAGTGGATTCGATCATATCTATCGCAGATGAAAAGGCTGATAAAAAACAACAATGGAAATGTTATATCATACAGAATATCTATCAACACAGAAGTTCCGCAAGGTAGTATCCTGGATCCTCTGCTTCATACAATTTTTCTCAACGACATTTCTAGCGTGCTCAATAATGTCAATATCCAATTGATAACTTACGCAGAAGATACTTACATACTTTCAAATATATCAGGGGAAACGGTAACTGAAATGACAACGACACATCAAATGACAACATACATCAACCTTAAAAAATGAATGTTGAAAAATAGTTCAGAAACAAAGATCTCACCTTGAAGTTGAACGAGACTCGAATGAGATTCCTATATTATCATATTACTAACCAATAATCCAATATATTGCTTTGCTGACGACAGCTCACCTGTCTTGTCATTCCATTTGGACTCCAGGACTTCGGCTGAAGATGCACATCTTCACCGACAGGAGGAGGTTGCATATCTTAATGAAGATCTAGAAGTGATTTCAAGTTGGGGTGAAAGTAACTAGGTCCAATTCAATGCCAAATATTCAAAATCTTTTTCAATTTTAGAAATCATGTTTCTTTAATTCCGTGTCATGTAATGACCTCTATGACTTATATGACATATTTCCAAACAATGATACATTGACAGGGCGATAGAGATATTTTTCGAAATTTCTGTGATGAAAGATAGGTTCCAAATATTATAAGTTCTGAGTAGGAAAATGCTAGAAAACATTGGCTTCAGTGAGTCCATTACCTTCGTTTCTCTTCTCATTCTATCTAAATGATAATTTCAGTTCAGTATCAGTGTTAGCTATTCGACATGCACTGAGAGGCATATCAAGTTCATAACATCCTAGTTGCCCAGTCTTGATTCTTTCGGTGAATGCTACTATGTATGGTCTATTTGGTTTGACTCATGGTAAACTCTTGGTTCTTCTTGTTATAGTTCAGAGCTATGAGTCCCCTCATTATATCTGGTAACTCTCCACTTATAACTAAGTACTGCGTAGCCCAGAAATGTATATCCACTACAGTCCAGAATACATAGTAACTTGTCGGTTACAACCAGATTGCTATTCGTGTCACAACTGTTTCTCTCAAGGTGGTCATGCTCTCTAAGTATGCAGTTCCTTCACCTGAAATTGTCTCTCCGGTGTCTCTTCTTATGGACGCCAGGATTATTCTAAGAATGTAAATGAACCTTGAATAACCAAAAAAGCAAGTGAAATAACTTCTTCGTTTTCAAAAGCATGGTCTGTTCTTTGCAGCATTATTGTATATGTACCGTCTGGTTTTGGCGACTAAAATGATTAAAATGAGGTTACAGCTCATTTAATTTTTTCAAAATCTACCCATTTCTTTGCCACTTCTATTCTTTCCTTAGAGGACTGCAGTTCTGAAACTGCATTCTCGTTTATTTTTAGATTATTTTTCAAGACCTTGGTTTCTTCAAAAGTATCTTGTAGATTTCAGCAAGTGCGAAGTTGGATCTGTCTGACTTTCTAGTATTGCTACCTCTAAGATCACCTTTTGAATTTCCTCAGAATATTGTTATATTCAGTAAAAAACTTTTTATATTGGTCCCTCATATAATTTTTGGGTAACTACGGACAATATTCGTTATACGAAGAGATAAGTTCCTGTAATTGGTAGGGGGGAGTAACCCAAGATGGGACGCTTTTTTAAAAAAAATGATATTTCCAAAATTAAATGAAATAAAGCAACTCTGGTGCCACGAAACAGATATATATTATAATCAAAAACAGTTCCTGAGTCTAAATTAGTAACAAAATAAAAATAAACATTACTGTGATCATTTAAAAAGAAGTGCCGAGGCAAGGCTCTTAAGATGGGTCAAGCAGTTTTCCAAGACGAGACACTTTGGTTTCAAAATTTGCACAATTGCAGTCCTGTTCGCTCGTCGCATATTTTTCTCCGCAGACAATGCAACTTTTGTCATCCGTGGTTGCTTTTTCTATTATGGTGTTGATTGTCTTTTTACAGGAACTAGGCTTGTTCTCTGTTTTGGTATTTTTATTTTCGACACATTGCTCTCATTACAGATTTGACACATTTTTTCGATTTTGCGTTTAGTAAGGCGTCCAATTAATTTTTATACGGTGATTCTGTGAGAATCGTAGATTTTATTGATTTTCTAGAGGAAGTCTTTTTTTTGTCTTTTGCAATTGGCAAGGGACTGATATCAACTATTCTTACTTTAGGTTGGGTAGTGCTATCAATGTTTTCCGCTTCTTGTCTATTAGTTGCCAAGATTGAAAGAGAAGGGTCTTCTTCATCGTCGCTATTTCTATCATTTCCCGATGATGTCAAATTAGCTACAGCCCTTAAAGTCGAAGGGATAGGATTATCATACACCTCTGCTGCTGGATTTATGTTTTCCCTCTAGTTCAGGTTTTCAGACTCTTCTCGCAGTTCCGTTGTCTTTGAAACAGCAAATTCCCAATCTTGGAATACTTTATCATTAAACGGCCATATTCCAGTCCTGCGATATTCATTAACAGCAGTCTGTACAATTGATGCTTTTGAAAAAGCATCTCCAACGGCTCCTGCTATTTGATACAAACCAAACGTGCAACCTGGGTGATTTTTCAACCACGTCATAGTAAGACATGAACGATTTAAAATAGGCAACATCTAATGGCTGCATTTTATGTGTGCAGTGGGGCGGGAGGCATAACAAGATTACACCATTATCACGGCCAAAAGTTTATAACGTGTAAACTCTTCGTATGTGAGCAATGACCGTCCAAGATTATAACAATTGGTGTTTCTTCAGAGGGTCTGGTTTGCTCAACGAAATATTTCATGCATTGTTAAAATACCTCTCGATCCATCCAGCCTTAGTCTTGTGCGAAAGCAGGACTTCCATTGGGTGCATTGTCCATCAGCTCAGGTTTTATTCTTTTTCTTGGAAAAATGAAAGCGGGAGCCAAAAAATTTCCAGTGGCACTCATGGAAGCAACAATGGTAACATTTACCCCCCTTTCGGCGCTGGTCAGTCCACCTACCTGTGTTTTGCCTTTCTGAGCAAGAATTTTTGGCAATTTTTGAACGGTCGTTACGCCCGTTTCATCGACGTTCCATATTCGATCTGGAGTCACTTTATACTTCGTATAAATATTGTCGAGATTATTAAAAAAACTTTGTACTGCGTTCTCATTAAAACCGATGGCTCTGGCATATGACGTTGCTTCTGGTTTCCTAAGTGCAATATTTTGGTGCCTATGTAAAAATCCGTAAATCCACTTTTTAGATGCCATTTTAGTATCCCTATTAAAGTTGTTGGGGATGTTATTGGCACAAGCAAATTTAAACGCCAGTTGACGAAGTTCCTTATAAGTGATCCCGAAAAATCGCTTTTCCATTTCGAAAATATAATCGACAATCTCATTTTCCTGTTCATCAGAAAAAATTATTCTGAATCAACCTAGGTATTTTTCATTGTCTATCACAACCTTATTTTTGTTTGTAACTCTCCTTTGCAAAGTACTTTTAGGCACGTTGTACCGTTCTGCGGCTTGTCGAATACCCAATTCTCCATTTCGAACTTTTTAGACAGCTTCTGACATGTCTTGAATCGACCAGCGTCCACGATTGCTTTTTCTTTTATAATACTTATCTCTTTTTGGCATCTGAAATAGACAGTAAAAATAAAATTAACAGATTTAGGTATGGTGTCTCAAGATGGGACATAGTCCCATCTTGGGTTACTCCCAAATTCAGATTTACAGAAATTGCATCATCTAAACTGATTACCAGGTCTAACCTATTATAAACTTCTCGGTTTATACTTCCGGGGGTTTAGATGTGAAATGATGGAGATAATTTCCGATCTCAAAAGTTGGGTGCCAAAAATTACAACACCTCATTGGACACATTTCAATTCCAAAATAATTACCTATACATATTATATCAATTTCTACGTAACATGCATATAAAACTGGTTTTGCAGTAGATGCTGTGGCAGATGCTTACATCTTTTGTTGGTGTCATTGGTGTCATAGCCAATTATGGACCGTGATTCACCTGCTATATAGGTCCTTGTGAATTACACTGCTAAGACTCTTCAGGATCTTGAAGGTGACAATACCCAGCTTTCAATGTGTTCCCATCCAAAGCCCTGAAATATGAATTGTCTATAGAACAGGCCAAGATTTGCCTTTTGTTTCCCTCTTTTCTACTGAAGAGGAGCCAGTTATATTCACCCCCAAACAGGACTCTGCCTGCCAAACTATGTCCAAACTGTCCTCTTCATCTACTCAGCCTAGTATAAAGACCAGCATCCGCAGCCTTTTCGAAAGTTCTGACCTTACCACGGCCTCCTCTCGAAATTTTTGAAGGTTTTGACGCATTAATTGATTTCTTAGTTGGTACATCTATAGCACCCCTGCTTCAAATGGACTGTTTGCACTGCAGATTCGCGTTCTTGCCTGACGTAACAGTTTCCCTTGAATCAATATGCTTGTCTCTATCTAGGAATGTTCCAGACTCCAAAGCAGATAATTTATATCATTTATTTGTTTATCACACCGCTGTTCTTATTAAAAAGGCTTTCAAATAATTATCCCCGGCTATACTTTTTTCTTGTACTCTACTAGATCTAGAACACTTCAGAGGGTTTTGAACCGTCAAAAATTCCCTTAGAACGAATACATTTCGGTGTTATCACGCTTTCATTTCAATTTTTACGCACTTATTATATTAATTTCAAATATTGGTTTTACAGTATTTACTTAATTTGAAACTAGGCTTGTTGTTTTCCATTATTATATTATGAGTCAAGTTACAAATCAAAGATTTGTAATGAAGAATCTCTTAGTGAATATTTCATGTTTATTTTTTGAAATAAATATATGCAAGATGTTGTTATTATAAGTAGTCTCGACAACTCGTTTAGACGAATTCCAGAAAAACTCGGAGGCCTCTAGCAAATTAAATGAATCATAACGTCCCCAGGTAATAATTATCAGCAGTGTTTTCCTATTCGTATTATATGATTCAATCCTAAATTATTTCCAAGAAGTAAAATCTATTACTGTATTACAGCGGTATTAAAATTGGTAATAGAAATATCAAGCTGCAAGTCACTATTTGTGTTATTACTTTGCGGACAACGGAAAAATCTAATTAGAATTTTAGTGCGTTTTACTGCTTCGTAACTAGTTTGTTATGGATAATAGTTATTAAACTTTTTGTTGTTCTTTCGACATGTATCTTATAATGAACCGTAATTTGAGATTTCATGATGTATTGTGATACGGGCATTGAGTTTGGTATTTTCCATATCTGTATATCACGATTCATTCTCAATTATTTTTGCTGCTGAAAGTGTTCCTTTCAATAATAAGTTTAATACGACGGTTATAATGACCAACAAAATATTGAAATCAATAAATAAATCGGATTTCATAGTTTNATGCAACCGGATTTGGTGTTACAGTTACAAAATTATAATCCTATTTATAATACGATTGTTTAATATTTTTGGAAAAATGCTTCAAGCCAAGCAAAGCAATAACGAAAGCATTGAAGTGGATTCGATCATATCTATCGCAGATGAAAAGGCTGATAAAAAACAACAATGGAAATGTTATATCATACAGAATATCTATCAACACAGAAGTTCCGCAAGGTAGTATCCTGGATCCTCTGCTTCATACAATTTTTCCCAACGACATTTCTAGCGTGCTCTATAATATCAATATCCAATTGATAACTTACGCAGAAGATACTTACATATTTTCAAATATATCAGGGAAAACGGTCACTTCAATGACAACAATACATCAAATAACAGCATACATCAAACCTTAAAAAATTAATGTTGAAAAATAGTTCAGAAAGAAAGATCTCACCTTGAAGTTGAACGAGACTCGAATGAGATTCCCATATTCTCATATTACTAACCAATAATCCAATATATTGCTTTGCTGACGACAGCACACTTGTCTTGTCATTCCATTTGGACTCCAGGACATCGGCTGCAGATGCACATCTTCACCGGCAGCAGGGGGTTGCATATCATTTCGTCTAATCTTCAACCTCAAATTCGTCACTGTTGCTACCGCTATCATCAAAGTGAATTATGATTGGTTCAATATTGTGTTCAATACGGTTGTATATTTGTGTTTTGAAACTTAAAATCTATTGTTTTTCTTCTTGGATACATTGGTGAATAAAATACTTTCATGTCATATCAGGTTTGTTCTGGTTCTACGAAATTCAGGTTCTAGGACGTCAGGATCATGCGCAGTTGATATTGAGCGTTCTGGTTTATTGAGAATAATTTTGGATTGATGAATCCTCTGGTCTGATTTCGACTGAGAAATGATCCTGAACCGTCTTGAACCGTCTCGAATCGTTTTTGCTCTCGAGACTGAACTGTTGAGAACTGTTCCAGTTGCTCATGCGCATTCATTGGAAATTTGTTTGGGATATTTTCTAGGATGTTTTCTTATTTATTTGATTTGAATAATTGATGATTAAAGTTAGATAACATTTGCACTGACTACAAGGATACGCTACATAACAAAATGGACATGATCAACAGTATTTTCTCGTCTTCATCTCTTCATTTATATGATAGGTGGCACAGTGGTCTCCTCAAAATGCGTTCTGGTTTAACTAAGTGTCCGAGACTATTTCGTTTGAGATTTTTTTCTTGTACGCATCATGTCTTGCACAGTTTCCAAACAGTTTCGGATCTTTAAACCAGAACAAACCTGTCAGTTCACTATTTTATTTTTTTCTATTGAATGGTATATTTTATGACCCACACAGGCATAAAGTCAAGAAAGCAGCTTCTCTGAATAATTTATTGAAAACCTTTATTCGAGACATGAAATGAAACTATCCATTATTTGAATATTTACCGAACTTTATTTGGGAAATTCACATGAAACTGGATATTCTGGAAAGATTCGGTGCAGCCAATGTTGCTGAATCATGTTATCTAGGTATGAGTTTCTTCAATATAATGCCGAATCCTGTCAGCATTCTGATTTCCCATAAACTACATGATGGCCAGTTCAGCATGACCTATAAAGGATTTCTTCATAGTGCTACACTTATTTATAGCATTTTTTTAAGGACAAAACACTACAGAAAAATCCTTCCCATATAAACGCCGTTTTCCAAATGAAAGAGTTCTTAAACAGTAAAGTTCGAGGTGTACTGAGTTTAACCTCAAATGATCACAAAGAAAACATTTTCATACTTACATAGGAGAATAACATTTCGGTCTGATATTCACAATTCGAATGTAAGATTTTGAAGAACTTTGAGTCGTCGCTTTCAAAACAGAATCATTCAAACGGTCATACTCCTACCAAATCACTAAAATATATAATGGAATCTGTAATAACGGAGAATTGGTTTTATTTAGCTTGTCCTGTTTGTTTGGTTTAATTTAGTAATTGAAGTTTGACCCCCTTCCTGTTGACATATTGATCTGATATTTGGTACACACATTTAGTTTTGATGACAATAGAATTTGATAAATTATGGCCGCAAGATGGCCGCAGCTATAAAATGGCGGATTATTTCGCAACTACCTCAATATGGGTATCAAATGACAGAGCTTGAGTAGTATAGTCGTACACTTTGAAAAAGATGTAAATTAAAGATGGCCGCAGCTACGAATCTAGTTTTACTAAAAACATGATCTGAAATTTTCATAATGATAATTTTTTGGCTGAGGAAAATGCATTCGTGGAATCTCTTCACCACGAGCAATTCTCATTTAATGTCTGGGCTAGAATTGGACCTTTTTCACGCACATTGTATTGACACTATTGCCGATTTTTTTATAATAATTTGCCAGTTCTTGAGGAAGATGTTCCTACTTCAATGCGAAATCACAAGTGGCTTATGCACAATGATGTACCACCTGCTCATTTTAGTGCTCTGGCAATGAATATTTGAACCAAAAATTCCATAATCGATGAATAGATCGTGGCGGAATAGAGTTATCTCCAGCTGGTTCCCCAGACTTGAATAGTATTGATTATTTTCACTGGGGACATCTTAAGACTTTGGTGTACAGTCAAGATTCAATGAGAAGGAGGGCTGAAGCGTGCATATTTGCCGGAATCGGACATTTGGAACAATTGATTTGATTTTTTTTTGTTGATAATCGTTTTGTTTGAAAAAAAATAATAATAATTGTATGAACATTATAAATTGAAAATATCGCCTGGATTATTTTGTCACCACAATTATAAGAGGAAAAATTGAATAAGGAGAAGCAAGTGAATGCATTTCATGTTTTACCACAAAAACCGTACGTCGGACGAAAAAAGTCAAGAGACCATTTTCATGAGAAGATAGGGGGGCAATTAGAAAAATGTTATTCATTTGCAAATAA